GTTGTGTATGTATATGTATATGTATATATATATAGATATATATAAATAATATATATATATATGTATGTATATATATATATATATATATATATATATTATATTTATGCATATGAATGTGCTAGTATATATTTATAAGTATCTATAAGCATACACGTGTGTGTGTTTGTGCGTGGCTATATATATATGTGTGTCTGTGTCTGTGTCTGTGTCTGTGTCTGTGTCTGTGTCTGTAAGTGTCTCTGTGTCTATGTCTGACTGTGTCTGTGTCTTTGTCTATGTGTGTACATTTATATGTTGGTACTTTTATATTATATATTTGTATTTATATTATATATATATATATATATAGAAATTGAAATTGAAATTGAAGTTGATGTATATATGTGTGTGTTTGTGTGTGTGCTTGTGTGTGTATATATGTTTATGTAAATATATACATACATTACATTTATCATTTATGCATATTATATATATATGTGTGTGTGTGTGTGTGTGTGTGTGTGTGTGTGTGTATGTATATTTATATATATATCAGGTGTATGTGTGTGCCCGATTTTCATAATCTTATATACACCTGTGAATATTCTATCCATCATTTTGACTTTATACACCTTTCGCCGCAGATATGAGCGAATTCTGGAGCAGGACAATGATAGTCTGGTTTTGGATTTGTCCAACAAGATAGACGCGTTGAAGAGTGTAAGTTCCTACATTTCTGTTGTGTCTTTAGTCAGACCTTTTATATTTCGTCCTGATGTTGAGACTGAAGTGTGCTAAGCGTTCACATCGGTGCGCGCCTAGATTTCGAACTTGAATCTGCGGCTCGATAGGTTGTACTGCTGAATCTTGACCCATTGTTCTAGCGATGTAGTCTTTCGTTTTGGTAAAATGAGTTCGAATACGCCTATCAGAAGGGCCTGTGCTGGGGCCTTAGAGGACACACATAGCGATGTCGTCTGTCCAATATTGGCATAGGCTGTATTGGGTTGACATCCTGACTAGCAGTCGTCCTTGCTGTCGTTTGCGCAGACGTGCTTTACTCGCATGGTGCGCTCTGCTTCATATTTCATCGTTTATCCGAGGGCGTAGATATATAAACACTTTCTTATTCATTCTTACCCTCACTGCCTGAGCATATGAGTGGTTAACTTCACTACGTACTTTCGAATGTAATAATGGCCCCATCCGGCTGATTCGTGCGTCCTGGATGCTATTCGTTCGATGGTGAATGCACTCACAATGTACGCTCGCTGGTGTCACAATAAACACGTTCGCAGTTAACGACGGGGATCGGAGAAGAAGTGAGATCTCAGAATAAGTTTCTTGACGGCATGGTATGTCCTGCGAATGTTTTATATCGGCATTCATTGAGTGTATCGTCTTATGTTCTCCCGGTCTCGGGTTGACGTACGCTCCAGAAAAATATACAAGTTACTTTGATGTGAGTCAGGTTTGTCGTAAAATTTGTATCGGGTCTACCCACAGAGAGTAGAATAGCCATAGCTAAGCTTGGTAGGAAACACCGTGCTCATATTCTCGTATATTCTTGAATGCAGCAAGAGATACACGTTCTTTAGCTCGATCTAAGCCAATATATTTTTTTACCCTTATCTGTTGTTCTTTGCAGTAGAAATATCCACCAAGTCTAGCTTAATATATCATTCCACTGAAATCTATTGGTGTTCATATATGCACCAAGATATGTCGACATACACAAACACTTACTCACTCCACACTTACTCAACACACACTTATCGCACAAACATTCCCTCACTCCACACTCCCCTCACACTCTAAAACACTTATTACACGTCGCTCTTGTATCCCTGTGTATTCACCTGTATAGCAACATCAACCCTTGGTATACGTCTATTTAAAACTTCGTTGTATTCATCTATACTTCCGCATAAACTCATAGTACACTTATTTCTGAAACCCCTTGTGTTCACCTGTTTAGCAAGACATCCGCATAAAGTTTTATTACAAGTCTTTCTTAAACCCTTTTGTATTCACCTATGTAGCCAACTTATATCCACATAAAGCACTCAACACGCGTCTTCCTTAAACCCCTTTGTGTTCACCAATGCAGCAAGAAAACTTCGCTGGCGCGAGCGATCTTCTGGGTGGTGCCATGAAGAGACTGCAGGTGGTGGCAGCCAAGGGAGGAGGCCTCATGTGTTACCTCATGCTGTTCGTGTTGTTTGTCATGCTTGTCATGTATTTTTTGGCGCGATAGGCGTGCTACTTTGCCGTGACGCATGCATGCGCTGACCTGGCCTGATTCTTATGTTGTGGGAGGGGGGGGGGGGGGGCTGGGCAGTGCATAGCCTAGGTACATATGCTTGGTGCTTGATAATAGGACAGTTACATATGCTTGGTGCTTGATAATAGGACAGGCGTAGTGACCAGAGTGATGGGTATAGGCACGGCGGTATTGCCTGCGCCCTGCAATCTGGGACAGGGCCAGGGAACTGTGAGACAGTGGGACAGCCTTTTAGTAGTACTGCTGTAGTAGTATTTACGAGTGACGGGGTAGGTATGGTAAGGCACCAGGACGACATACATTCCATAGTCAAAGAGTTTGAGTTGGGCGTGACATCACGTTGCCATGGATACCCCGGAGTATTCTCGAATTATCCAATGACTAGGATGGAACGCGAATCCCGTAAAATTCTGCAGCTAGGCGAAATTTGGGTGCCAATAGACTCCGGGTGTCAATAGACTGCATCCCAACCCCATTGTACCATGAGCCACTTCGCTATGACTCACCACCCGACTTTGGCATGGTAGACCTAGATGCTCACCAAGCCCCTGCACAAAGCACTGTATCATTGTGTGCTTGGATGTAAGTATAGCCCTTCTTACATACTATTGTGTGCTTGGACGTAGGTAAAGCTCTTCTTTCCTACCGTGCCAAGCACGAATTGAACCCCATAGTATGGCGTAGTATTGCGTTCAGTAGTATTGACACTCCTGGTGTACATAGGGTGTGCGATGGGGGGATCAGATTGCATTGCCGTTGCCAGTATCCAAACCCCTGGTTTTAGGGCTAGAAATCCTAAGCATTCGGCAGCGATGACCGCAGGTTCCGGGGTTTCTGTGCCACCCCTCCCCTCCTTTGAAGCATAACAAACGTACTATCCACACGAGATATCATAACCGATATATAAACTTTTTGATTTCATGTTATATATATATATATACTGCAGGTTTGATTTTTATTTTGATTTTATTTATGTATACTACATGCACTGTACAGTATAACCTGTATTCCATTTTAGTTCAGTTTGATATAGCACGCAGCCAAGCTCCAATTAATACCATTAATTATTTTTGGATAGCACTCAGAATTTGGGAAACCAATTCTGTAGACTGGCTTAAAAGTTATGCCACGATTGAAAATCGACCTGAATACCCTGGACCTTGTTTGTGCGCACTACCAGCCCCACGCACATACTCAGGCCGATGCCTGAGCCTGGGCCTTCGCGCGTGTTTTCTCCAGGATCTTCTCGACTTGCTGTGTCAGTTCCTTCTTCTTGATTTTGCCCGTGACGGTGATAGGTATGTCCTCTATCTCCATGACAACCACCACCGACGGGACCTTGTAATGGGCGAGTTCGTTCCGCACCGCTTCTCGCACCCGCGCTGTGATCTCCACATCAAACGCATCACTCAGTGACACATGCGAACTGTGGGCTGTTGGACTGTGTGGGTCACTGTGGTCGAACGCGTCCTCGTCTATGGCCACCACCGCACAGACCTCTTCGCCGAACAGCTCGTTGCGCACCCCCACCACACTCACCTGCTGCACACCGGGCACCTTGAACACCACCTCTTCAATCTCCCGCGGGTATATGTTCTCACCCCCGCGGATGATGATATCCTTGATCCGTCCCACCACGCTCAGGTACCTCTCCTGGTCCATCACACACAGGTCGCCTGTCTGTATCCAGCCGTCGTCAGTGACCGGGTGGTTCTTTGGGTCACCGTTGTAGTACTCCTTCATCACGGCATAGCCTCGCACCCACAGCTCACCGGCTTCCCCTATATCGCACACATCATCGTCCTTGGGCACACTGGTGTCCGGTTCACTCTCCTCGGAGGTTGGTCGCACGAGCTTAGCCTCCAGGTGCGGGTGTATACGGCCCACAGTGCTCACGCGCTTGTCTAACGGGTCGCTCTGGTTGGTCTGGAAACTCACCGGACTTGTCTCGGTCATGCCGTAGCAGATGGTGACATCTTTCATATGCATCTGCTTAATCACCCGTTGCATGACTTCCTCGGGGCAGGAGCTCCCGGCCATCACACCGGTGCGCAGACTACTGAGATCGTACTGTGAATGGTATTGGTTGGAATTGGTTTTTGGAGGTGCATTGGTGTAAGTAGACATTAGATACATCGGTTCTCAGCTATTCAACGCAAGTTGCTGAGATAGTACTGTAAATGGTATTGGTTTATGGGGGTGCATTGGGTATAAGGGTCATTGCTGTATGGCACAAAACTGTATGGTTCCCTTGCTCAGTCTTGCAATTGCTATTCAGACGAACAGCGACGGGCTTGTGTAGGGATGTGGTATCAACGTAGACAACACTCTTCAACACCTTTATAGCAGTAGAGGTTGCTGAGGAGCGCATGTAATCTTCCAGTACTTAGCACCCGCCCAGAAACCTAGATTCACAAACACTGTTTTACAAAAAAAAATTACTCAACTTGCATATATGTTTTGCACACGTGTTAAGTATATATTTTACACACATGACAAGTATATGCTTTACACACATGGTACGTATGCGCTTTACACACATGGTACGTACACCTTTCAGAGCAAGGACACACTGGATCGTCGAGGATAGCATCTCACACACCTGATTGAAGTTGGGATGAGATAGCTCGGCAATGAAGTGGGTAGGCACTCCGTACAGAGACGTGCATCGCTCCTCATGAACAGCCTGTAGTACCTTCTCCGGGTTGAAAGTCGCTGACGGGTATACGACCGTACACGCACGGGTCAAGGCAGCCAGGTTCCCTATCACCAGGCCAAAGCAGTGGTATAGGGGGACCGGCACGCAAATGCTATCATTCATAGTGTACTGCAGGATGTGAAATGTATGTGCACATAGCGTTTGAGTGAGTAGTAGTGTGACGTGGACATACAGGCATAACGCACATGTATATAATGGATACCAAGCAGCAACGCATGATATAGAGCAAAATAGCACACCCACACCCACTTATAATATATATATACATATATCATATATACATACATACATACATACATACATATATATACATATATACATAAATACATATTTACATATATACATATTTACATATATACATATATACATTTACATATATACATACATACTACAACTATATATATAATATATATATATATATATATATATATATATATATATATATATATATATATATATATATATATATATATTAAAATAGAAGAATATATACATTCTCATGGAGGGACGGATCCACTTTGGTATATGATTTTACACAGACACATGGTTATCTTACCCCCAATCGGTCGGCATTCATGAGTCCGTTGTTGAGTATATTAGCGTGTGTCAGGGCCGCAGCTTTGGGTTTCCCCGTGGTACCACTTGTGAATTGTATATTGATCACATCCTGAGCTGTTGGTGTGATATCCAATACCAACCCGTTCGCGTCTCCATTGTTATCTACACAGTCGCCCCCAAAGTTCACCACATCTTTGTATCTAAGCATGCCCGGTGTCGCCATATCGCTCACATTGATGATATGCTCCAGCGTCGGCACCGCGCTTAAATTCAGCCTTTGTCCATCACTCTTGTCGCGTGGTAGCCGGGGTTCGGACTCATTGAGCTCAGGGCACATCTCCTCGCACAGCTGCACGTAGTTTGTTCTGGATACCTCGGGCGTGATCACCAGCACCTTGCATTCCACCAAGTTCATCGCATGTACCGCCTCAGCAGCTCGATACGCAGGATTCATGGTGGTAAGTATAGCACCTATCTTAGCCGTGGCATACTGCAGCAGCACATACTGTGAACAGTTGGGCAGCCACACACCCACACGGTCACCGTGAGCTACACCCAACTTTTGCAATCCTCTAGCGAGTACATCGGATTGTTCATCCAAGTCTTTATATGTGAGCGTGACAGCCTCTTCTCTGCACACAAACGCCTTTTGTAACGGATGCTTAGCAGCGGTATCTTTGAGCATTTGCCCTATAGTACATGACAATAATTCGGGTGTTTTTGGTCCGACTACATGTGCCTTTGAACCACCAATATGATGTGCGTCTGTGTGTGCTGAAGCTATCAACCTCGTATGAGGTAAACAACGCTCGGTGCTTACGATAGCGCTTGTACGGAGTCGTGGGTACTTCAAATTTACAGCCTTGGTATGGCTATGTAATAAACGTGTACATAGTCTAGATTGGTTGAGACTGTGACGTTGTGTGAGTTGTGTAAGAGCTGAACAAACGCCGTTCGAATGCGAAAAAGTCCTCCATATTGACATTATTCTCGGCAAACTCAGTATAATCTTCTATTCCTGTTGATAACGACAAAATCCGTTCGTTCTATTTACAAAGAACAACGTAAAGCTCAAAACACAATGATCTCAGATGCATTGTGCATCACGCATCTATTCCTCGCCATAGATATATTGATTTATAAAAAAATGAAAGCAGGGCCCTGTTCTGAATGAAGAAAGTAAATAAGTTGTCTTCTTTTGGGTTTTAGGGTTCTAGCAATCTAGGGTTTTAGGGTTTAACAACGCTATGCATGGCCTCACAAGTCATAACATATATTGATATTTAGGATTAGCCATAGCCTTCTTCCGTATTTTAGAAGGCAATGGATTAGCCCACTATAAAATTGAACAAATAGGTCATTCGTATTTATGTATTAACTAATAAGAGGAGGCCATGATTGTTTTTTTTTGTTTTTTTGTTTTTTTGTGTTTTTGTTTTTTAAACAATAGTAGTATATAGTATGTACTGTACATATGTATTTTGGAAATAAATACATACATAGGAACTGAAGCAGTAGGATCTGATACATAGCCTCCCAACAAGAGTATTCCCAACAATCTTTTTTTAGAACGCCATGTATTTATTGCTCTCTGGACTCTGGACTCTGGACTCTGGACTGACTATTGACTCGAGTCTCAGACCAGAGGCCTCAGGGCTCAGGGTAGGGGACGAGGCTATGGGCATACTGGTGACGTATTTTCGTATCTATTTTAGCCCTGCCTCACTCTCTCTAGTAGAGAGAAAGAGGGTGGGGCATGCTGGGGTGTCACCGCTCACTCGGTGTTCAGTCGCTCACTACTACTAGACTAGTAGTAGAGATTAGTAGTAGAGAGACTCTAGACTTCATTAGAGAGTAGAGAGAGAGTCACTATTATGGGCCCAGCCGTGGGCCGTTGGGGCTTCAAAATGATGCCCAGGCGTTCCCAGTCAATTTTTTTTTGTTTCTGCTGGGCTTGGCAATCTCTGGCAATCTGGCATAGCCTCCTATCCAATTTTGGGTTCCATAATTCCATTTGAAGGCGGCTATGAATTTTGATACTCTTCGCCCTGCGGTATGTAAATATATAATTATATTTCATGTATGTAATAACCGATTTCCTCCTTCCTCTCCCTGTATCGGACTATTAGCTTACCGCTCATAAAATATTGTAGTTTCGTGACTGAATTTTGGTTTGGGGGCCTTTTTAGAGGGTCCTAATTTTCCTCCTACTGTATAGGGTGTATAGAGGATTTTAGAGGGGGGTTTCTTGAGAGTCGAGTCACCGAGTGTCTAATTTTTGTCTCTATTGTACATGCATATTTACATATTTATAAGTCTCCAGCTATTTTCAATTTTGACTTTCCACTCTCCAGGAATCCAGAGGAACAATGGATATAGACCACCTGATTGGTCAATAAGTCTAGAGCAAGGGTCTCTCAGGGGTCGACATTTATCGGGACAGGTTAAACCTGACCCTCTGGGTTTAAACCCTAAACTAGGTTTTTCGGTTACTGAGCTTAATCATTGTGGTCAATAATCGTGAACACAATTTTTACCCCCATTATTTTCCTACAAATATACAAATATATTCAATAATAAATTTAATCAATTATGATGTCAGTTTTCTAGTTCCAATAGGGATAATATTATATATTTCAAAAGAGTTAAGTTACAATGTTTGTACATATGGTATGGCTCTCATAGCCGGTGTAGTGGTTCGGGGAAGATAGATGGGAAGAAGTGGTCAGTAAATTCCCTGTTGAAGCTTGGACCAAGTGAGTCGACAATGGAGAATAGAATTTTTGGCCACAGGGCCAGACAGGGCAGAGACAGCCGCCAGTGCGGTAGTCGATCAATGTGAACATGTACATATTTTGTTACAATCATAGCACAGAGCCGGATTGGTGTAGGCTCGAAGCAGTGGTTGAAGCTGTCGTGTCTGGCTTTGTCCCGATCTGAGGTTGGCGGTATGCCCATGACCAATTGGTAGTAGTATTGACGCCGGGCCATTGCCGCGATCTCCTTGCTGGACCAGCGTTTTATTAATTTCTTTCTAATGTCGTCACATCGTCGGCGGAGGGCTACATGGTCTGGTGTACGCCCGTCCGTGGTTTTGTATACAATCTTTAAGTGGACATAGATACTGTACGGGAAGCGCAGTGATGGTTTGTCGTGGGCCCAGGCAGGTTGCGTCCGAGGGGTGAGTGGGTTTGTGCTGGCCATTGAGTCGAGTTGCAATCCCAGGCAACCTCTGTAGAAATACGGCCTCCGGTCAGTCTAAAATATCAAGATCAATTGAGATAATACATTGGTTTTTATTTGTATTTTAAATAATTTAATACAAGCTCTTTTTCCAATATTTCCAAAGTGTTCTAAATGCACTTTGATGGCTCCAATAGCCTGAGTATTTGGTATGACTCATCTACTTGGACCTATTTGAGACATTAGTAGATGTAGGATATTAATTAT